ATCTAAGCCACCACAAAAAAAAAAAAACAGCAAGAGAGAAAGAGAAAGTGAGTGAGTGGAAAAAGAGAGAGAAAGAGAGTGAGTCACAGTCTGTTTGACACATGCAGATATTGAACACAAAATCAGCACAATTATAATAACAGAGGAATAAAAAGTATCAGAATGATGAATTTTTGAGAAGACAACAGACAAACACCAAGTCTCTGGACATGCCTGAGGATGGACTCAGATCGCTTACACAAAGAGCCGCTGAGAAGAGCCAGAAGAAGCATGGTGAAGAAACAGGAAGCTCACATAGCTGGGCGATAAACCAGCCAATGAGAAAGTGAGAAGCAGAAGGGAGGGTATGTGCCTGACTCTCTTTTGTATGGGGGAGAGAAGCATGAGCGGAGAGAACGCTAACTAAAAGTAGGCATCGAATTACAATCACCCTTCTGGGAGTAAAAAAGCTTGATGTCATGAATAACAAGTTTCGATATCTACCAAAAAACACAAGACATTTTGTATAGTGAGCTAATACCATCAATATGCCACAGAATTTGAGGCATCATTCGTGTCCATAGCACAAACAATGCAGGATGAGTTACGCACCAAATTCAGTTGTTAGTGTTAAAGAGAGTTCACCCAAAAATTTAAATTCTATCATCATGTCATTCTAAACCTTATGACTTTCTGGAACACAAAAGAAGATATTTTGAAAATTGTCTCTGCGTGTGGAAGTCAATGGTCATCAGGTTACCAACATTCTTCAATATATTCTTTTATGTTCCACAGAAGGGTTTGGAACGACATGACGGCGAGTAAATGATGATAGAATCTTCATCTTTGGGTGAACTATCCTTTTAAGGGTTTCAGTAAAGTATGTACAATAATAATAGTAATGCCTGCTTTAGCAACTGATACAACAACTGCTATTTTGGTTCAATGTAGTGTAACAGCAGAAAGACTCACATGTGGAGCTGCTCCTCTGGAGACCAACACCGGTGTGCTTCGCCTGCCTCTAGACGGCGGATCAACTGGCTGGATGTCCTGGTCCACAGGTGGAGGAGGAGGACCAGGGAGCGTTACGGACAGTTCTTTGATCGTTTTCTCCGTAAGGTACTCATCTATAATATCTGAGGGACAGTTTTAATCAATATAAACAAGAGATCTAGTTAAAGACATCACTTACCAATACATTTTCCCCATGTAACACAAAAGCAGATGTTAGGCAGAATGACACTATTGTGTACTTTCACTGCATGGAAAAATATGGTGACTGGGGCCACTGGGCTGAATAACATCTCCTTTTGTGTTCCATGGAAAGTCACTGGGCTGGAGGGCATAAAGGTGACTAAATAATGACAACATTTTTGTTGAACTATCCCTTTAAAACCATAAGACACTAAATATATGAAAGAAGAAACAAAGTGGACAACCAAGGTCACCTCACAATGAGGCCACATCTGCACTCACCTAGATAAAGGTCTGCACAGGGAGACATGATGGGGAAAAAAGAAGAGAAAAACAGGTAAACATGCGCATTTCCGGAAAACGAAACTGAAAGCGACTTTTTATTTATTTATTTAACATAAAACTAGCAGTTAATGACAAAGTCGTTTGATAAACGTGTCTGCAGCAGCTTGACTTTATTATCAGCTAATAAACAAATGCGCTATCATGAAACATATCAGATGATAAACATACTTCTCGACAGATTATAAACATGCTAAAATATTATTTTTGCGACAGTAAAACAGGAAAAGACATTCGCGGGCCTGTATTATTGTTTCAATACAGGCCTGTAACTTTGGAAACACCCACTTCTCTAAGAAAACAACTTAGTTTCGATGATAACGTGACCTTTTGTGTCATAAAACGTAATATAAAGTGATGTGGCGATAGCTGCCGTTCAAGTTCAGTGCATAATGCGTACATAATGCATCGCTTAGGAGTAACTTAAAGTAGAGCAAGTAGTCCTAAAACATGCTGAATCAGAGTGACAACAGGGCCGAAGTGAACGTGTAAGAAACTGAACTGACCTCCCGCTGTGCCGTTCCGAACGCTCATGTTTCTCATTGCAGGCACAATGAAGAAGAAGAAAAAGAGTCTCGTTGGTTCCTACACGCTCTCGTAGGTCGTTATTATGTTGAATTGCAATCCTCCGAAACAGCGATCAGATCATCAGTCCCGCGTTATGGACTCATTTCCGGGTGCTTCGCCTGTTTTTGGAAGCCTGAAGTTAACGGAAGCTTTTTGGAAAAGAAATCCCGAGAGAAAATGAGAGACCGCTTTAGCTGTTGCTCAGCCACTAACGACTGTGACATGACAAACAGAACACCTTCGCTCCGTATTTCTTTCACTTTTTCTCTTGGTAAGCTACAAAAGGTCTGATCTGGTGGGTGGAAATCCCCCTACGTCACAACTGGGGAAACCCCAAGATTCATCACCATGACAACGACTAACAGGTGAGTTTCAAGAAAGCGCACCAATTACAGGTACACAGAACACCATCCTAAAATAACCTGTATACAGCAAGTAATAATAAATAGTAACAAATTATGTACATTATATAAAATCGAAATATCATTCAAATGTACGATTGGATGTTTATTGGGTGCTTATTTAACATTTTAAAATTATATATATATATTATATATATATATAATTTTTATTTTATATACGCAATTTAATACATTCAATCGTACACACACCCACACACGTATATACAGTGCTGCTTGAAAGTTTGTGAACCCTTTAGAATTTTCTATATTTCTGCATAAATATGACCCAAAACATAATCAAAAGTCCTGAAAGTAGACAAAGAGAACCCAAACAAACAAATGAGACAAAAATATTTTCTTTGCCATTTATTTATTGAGAAAAATGATCTGGTGTTAAATATTTGTGAGTGGCAAAAGTATGTGAATCTCTAGGATTGGCAGTTAATTTGAAGGTGAAATTAGATTCCATCTGTTCAGAGGTGTTTTTAATCAGTGAGATGACTATCAGGTGTCAGTGTGTGCCAACTTAATTTGCTGTAAAGTTGCTTTGCAATGATTTGTATCGTGAAAAGCGCTGTACAAATAAACTTGAATTGAATTGAATTGAATATGAATGTATATCTGAGGGGAACTGACAGTCTTCAGAAAATTGTAAATGGTATTTTCTTTTTATCTTACCTCCGTATAATGCATAATTTGGGGGAAGTCGTGGCCTAATGGTTAGAGAGTCGGACTCGTAACCCAAAGGTTGCGGGTTCAAGTCTCGTACCGGCAGGGATTGTAGGTGGGGGGAGTGAATGTACAGTGCTCTCTCCCACCTTCAATACCACGACTGAGGTGCCCTTGAGCAAGGCACTGAACCCCCAACTGCTCCCCGGGCATACTTGGCCACATGTCACGTCACTATATCTGTGAGTGGCAAAAGTATGTTAATCTTTGCATTCAGTATCTGGTGTGACCCCCTTTTGCAACAATAACTGTAGGTAATGTTTCTTGTAACTGCTGATCAGTCCTGCACAACATCTTGAAGGAGTTTTAGACCATTCCTCAGTACAGAACCCCTTCAGCTCTGTGATGTTGGTGGGTTTCCTCCTATGAACTACTTGCTTCAGTTCCTTCCACAAAATTTCAATTGGATTAATTGGTTGAACAACTTGTGTGCTTGGGGTCGTTGTCTTGCTGCATGGCCCACTTTCTCTTGAGAATTAGTTCACTGACAGATGTCCTGACATAATTACAATTCATTGTTCCATCAATGATGGCAAGCTGTCCTGGTCCAGATGCAGCAAAACAGGCCCGAACCATGATATTACCACCACCAAGTTTCACAGATGGAATGAGGTTCTTATGCTGAAATACAGGGTGTTCTTTTCTTCAAACATAACGCTGCTCATTTAAACCAAAAAGTTCTATTTTGGTCACATCTGTCCACAAAACATTTCTCCAGTAGCCCTCTGGCTTGTCCGCATGATCTTTAGCAAACTGCAGACTGGCAGCAATGTTCTTTTTGGATGCACCATGCACACCGTGGCTGTTCAGTGTTCTCCTGATGGTGGACTCATGAACATTAACATTAGCCAATGTGAGAAAGGCCTTTAGTTGCTTAGAAGTTACCCTGGGTTCCTTTGCAACCTTGCAGACTATTACACACATCTTGCTTTTGGAGTGATCTTTGTTAGTCAATCACTCCATACTTTTGCCACTCACAGATATGTAATATTGTATCATTTTCCTGAATAAATAAATGACAAAGAACATATTTTTGTCTCACTTGTTTGTTTGGGTTCTCTTTGTCTACTTTCAGGACTTTTGATTATGTTTTGGGTCATATTTATGCAGAAATATAGAAAATTCTAAAGGGTTCACAAACTTTCAAGCGGCACTGTATATTTAGTAGTAGATTGTCAGTGGTGACTATGTCAAATTGAAGTGTAAATATTGCAGAATAACAATGATGGATGTAATGAGGGCACATTGAGCCTGTTGTTTTAATCGTTGCGTCAGACATTTGTTAATACAGCACTACTAAGGTAGAAAAGATATTTAAATCTATATATATATATATGTATATATATATATATATGTGTGTGCGTGTGTGTGAATATATTAAATTGCTTATATAAAATATTATGTCTACTAATGTTATATATATATATATTTGTTTTGTTTGTGTATATATATATATATATGTGTGTATGTATATTAATAAATAACTAAGTACTAGCTCAGAGAGTGAGAAGGTTGATATAGTCACATGATCTCTAGTAAATGGATGAAATGAGGGCACACTGAGCATGTTGGTTTCATCATTGCGTCAGCCTTTAATACAGCACTAGGTAAGGTAGAAAAGAGATTGACATCTGAGCCGCAAATAACGCGGGTGATTTATAGCACTGCTTAAACGGCCTTGTTTTAACCATTGTTTTATTTAAAAGGTTGACCTATGTTAATATGCCGCCTACACACCGAGAACATAGTTTCATAGAACATACAAATTAAACGCCTTGACATTTGGCCCGTGATGGTCATATGACAGACGTGCATAAAATGAGCACGTGAATTCTCCCACGCGAAGCGGAGCTCCAAATTTAGCGGACAGCTATTTTGGGTTCACGGTTACCATGCACTATGCCGTCACCAATCCCCGTCACCCGACTCCTGCCTAAGGATTTGGGCTGAAGTTTGGCGCGTGCAGCAGCCCGCTATCCAAAACTGCGAGTGGATCCACGCTGCGTGTGCCCACAAACACGTTTCACGGTCAAATCGCCCATAGACTGTGGTTCTCCGTGATTCATTGGCGAGAACTACAGGCCTTGAAGCCCATCGGCAGCGGTGGATTCGGTCTGGTGTTCAAAGGCACATACTTTGACGAGACTGTTGCTGTAAAGGAAGTGAGATGTGTGAAAAACAAGCTGGCCTCGAGGCAGAGTTTCTGGGCTGAACTCAATGCGGCGCACCTGCACCATCAAAACATCGTGCGCGTGATCGCGGCCACCACGTGCACTCCTACGCACCTCAGCTCCTAAAACAACATCGGGACGATTGTAATGGAGTTCCCCGAGCTGCTGAAAGGCGAGGTTTCTCCGCGCGTGGACATGTATTCGTTTGGCATCACCATGTGGCAGCTTCTCACGGAGAGCCGCCGTATGAGGGACACAGACAGTATGTTCTGTACGCTGTCGTGGCGTATAATCTGCGCCCTTCCATCGCTAGGGATGTTTTTATCCAGTCTTCTCTAGGACAGAAGTGTCAAAAACTGATCAGCCTGTGCTGGGACGGCGACCCCAGCGTCCGACCGACCGCAGACCAGCTCGTCAATCAACTTTCCATTTTATTGTGAATTTGCTCCACATGGACCCTCCAGACTCACGAAATATCTTCATTTGAAGTGTTTTTTTATTGTAATGTTTTGTAAGTTTAATTTTGTAACCTTTTTATTGTCAAGCAAAATTAATGTTAAATATCAAAAGAACTTTAAATGTTTTCTTCTGTTTAAAGCGGGCCTTTTGTGTGATTTGTAATAGTTCTGAATAAATCTATGAGTTGATATTTGCTGCGTTTACTAATAAATGTGAGGTGAACATTGATTTACAAATAAGTTTATCAGTTTAACTTTAATTTTATTAGTAAAAAGTTGTTAAAGCTATTTTGTTCGTAATTAAGCACGTTTTACCCACATAGGAACGAGCACAATGTTTGACTATTATGATGCATTATGAGTATTTTTACATGGAGCGGGTCGCCTTACAGGGGCCGCCATATTGAACAGTTGAATTTTACTCACTTTATTTCGGAAACTGCCTTGTTATTGGACAATTTTGATAGCAGAATAAATGAACCATAACGAATAGACTGCAAACAGAGCATTTCTTATAACATCGGTGACTGAAAACTTTTGCGTGATGCTGCATGCACGCCGCTAGGTGTCAGCACAACAAATAAAAAAAATGCATGTTAACCCAGATTACATTTGTGAATATGAACACCGCTCTATACAACATCATTTGCTTTCTGCAGCTACATGGACCATTTTTGGATTATATCATACAGTAGGTGAAAATGCGGAACACATGATAGTGAAGAGAAATTTAGATTGGTGTGCGCGCGTGTGTGTGTGAGAGAGAGAGAGAGACAGGGTCACATCACAGTGGAGTCAATCAAAAAGTGAGCTTCGTTTTTGTCCAACAAAATGTAAATCTCAAATGTAAATCTGCTAGTTTATAATATTAGTTTATACCGAAACCAACCTGTTCGAGCAATTTTAGTATTATTATTTTAATATGAAAAAAGTAGTTATGGTAGCAAAAGTCTTTGCATTGGAAACCACAAAACATTTGTTTTAAGGCAGAGAGTCATGCTAAACCAGAGGAGCAAGTATGCACTTCATATGGTGTAATCAAATGTTTAACTTTTCCCTAGGTATAATATATATATTATGAGCTCAATGTCACACCTTTAAAAAGCCAAATATGCAAATGAACAACTCTTGAGACATGAATAAAACAATGTTGGATTTAAACTGCACTTATGCTTTACTATAAACATGAGTGATTAAATTTTGGAACGTACCAAAAAAGAAAGCCCAATCAATTCAGAAGTACGGCACCAAAGAAAATTAGGACAAACCAGACATTTTCTCTCACGCATTCTTGGACCGTCAATGTGTCAAGCCGAACCTGGATGTGACACATGGTGGTCCAGCCGTGGAGTGTGAATGTAATGGAACTAGCTCTCAGTGAGAAGACTGGCAATTCAGCTATCGCTAGACAAGTTCATGTCAGCATGATTAAGTTTTACAAGCTGAGATGCTATACAGTTTTAGGACATATAAAAGAAAATTCAGAGGCTTAAGAAAAAAAAAGAAATCATCAGTTATTAATAATATTAATGTAATTATATATTAATACCTACAAGGCTGTTATTTCTTTATTTTTTGTTCAAGTTTGCAA